CTGGCTTTTTATTTGCTAGCATATTGTGTCAAATTGGCATATTATCTGCCAGTTAGAGGGAAACTCTATTAAATATATAAGCATATAATATATATGTACATATATATTACTCCATTTAATCTCTCTTGCTCCATTATTCTTCTTTTCCTCCATATCTATATGTATTCTTCAACCCCTCGCTTAAAATATTCATTCATCCCCAGTGACCCTTTAGTGCTTTCCTAATCTGTGTGGGTATTCTAAATGAAATTCACATGGCAAAAGATTCTAAGAGATGTTTTTCTCTCTGTGTCTGGGTTACCTCATGATAGTTATTTCCAGTTCCATCAATTTACCTGTGAATTTGATTATATAATTTTTAACAGCTGAATAATATTCAATTGTATAAATGTGCCACATTTTTATTACCCATTCATCAGTTGATGGACATTTAGGCTGTTTTTAATTTCCTGGCTTTTGTGACTAGAGCAACAGTGAACATAGAAGAGAATTACTGTTGTAATAAGATTTTTAAAAAATTGTTCAAGATCTATAAACATCCAGGAAATACAAATTACAGCTACTTTGAGATTTGATTTTACCCCAATCAGAACAGAAAAGACTTTTATTTAAAAAATGACAGTAGATGCTTACTTGGCTATGGGGATGGGAATGTTTATTCACTGCTGATAAAGGTGTAAACTGGGTACCAACACGGAGGTTCCTCAAAAAGCTAAAAATAGAGATGACACATGATCTAGAACTTTGGTATATGGCATAACCAGATCATGTATTATATCATATCATATAACATATAGCCCAAAGGACTATATGTTATAATTGAGAATCTTGCATAGCATTTCAATCTGGATTTAGACACTGGTTGTAATATTGTCTTAGGATTTCTATTGCTGTGAAGAGGCTACATCACCACAGCAACTCTTATAAAGAAAAACATTTAATTGAAGTGATTGCTTAAAGTTCAGAGGTTTAGTCCATTATCATCATGGTGGGAAGCATGGCATTGTGGAGGCTGATGTGATACCAGAGAAATAGCTGAAGAATCCTACATCTTTCAGGCAACAGGAAGTTGACTGAGACACTGTGAAATTTCATGAGCACAGAAAACCTCAAAGCCAGTCACCACAGTGACACACTTCCTCCAACAAGACCATACCCATTCCAACAAAGTGACACCTCTTCATAGTGCCATTTCCTATGCGCTTGTGTGAGTCAATTACATTCAAACTACCACAAACACCATGGTAGCAAGGCTTAAAGGCTTGGTGACAATAGGATTGGGTGAAATGGCTTTACAGATAAAATACTGTCATGGAAGAACAAGGACTGGGTTCAGATGCCAATTACACATGTCAGATGTCAAGCAAGACAGCATATGTCTTTAATCCCAGCCATGGGGAAGCAGAAAGAGGCTGGTCCAAGGAACACATTGGTCTACCAGCCTAGACTACCAATGAGTTTCAGGTTCACCCAGAGACTCTATCTCATGTAGCCAGTTGAAGACAATTAAAAGACATTGGGTGTCAGTCTCTGACCTCCTCACATACACATATATATACATACATGCATGCATACACACAGGCATGCACACATATATGTACATGCACAGGCATACACAACCCTACAATATAAATAATAGACACAAAATCAAACATGCTTTTAAAAGAGACAGTCAATGTGTGAAGTATGAGTGCTAATTCGGGAGCTGGTAATAACAGCTGCTGACATAAATTTCACTTAACACACATAGATATTCAGAGAAGATGTCATTAGAAACAGGAGTCAGATTCATCCATACATTCACTCTCTTGACCACCACTGTCTGAGTTCACCTCTTCTTTGGGGGATCAGCATGCAGATCCTTGGTATAGCACATATACTCAAAGGCTCAGTCTGATATACAAAACTTGCTTTGTTTGCAATTTGCTCCAATTCCTGAAAATTGTGTCCCTGAATTTTCCTTTTCTGATTTCATAATTATTAAAATGGTGATTTTTAAAAAGTGGTTTTTTGTTGTTGTTGTTGTTTCTGTTGTTCCGGTCTGAATTGGATTAATACCAGTGTGTACACTCCAGCGTCTTCAGTTGTCTATAGCTGTGTGTTAATACCAGTGTGGGCACTCTAGCGTCTTCACTGCCTCTGCCTCTGTATTAATGCCAGTGTTGGAAATCCAGTGTCTTCATTGTCTATGTCTCTGTATTAACACCGGTGTGGACATTCCAAGGTGTTCACTCTCTATATTGCTCCATTAATACCTGTGTTGTCACTCCAGGGTCTTCATTGTCTATTCCTCTGCATTAATAACAATGTGGGCACTCCAGGGTTTTCACTGTCTATTCCTGTGTATTAATACTGGTGTGGCCACTCCAGAGCCTTTGTTTTCTGTGTCTCTGTATTAATACCAGTGTGGCCACTCCAGAATCTTCGTTTTCTCTGCCTCTGTATTAATACCAGTGTGGCATTCCAGAGTCTTCAGCTGAATAGAAAGACAAGTCACTCCCATGGAGTTTTCAAAGATGGTGTTTATATCTGTGTATGGCTGGCTGCATATGAGCCCCCAAGCAGATTCATGTCATCAGCTCTGCATCATAGATGAATCAGGAGACCCCAGTGATAGGGAACATGCCTCCCAAGACTGTCTATCTTATACCTTGTATATTCACATATAACAGGAATCAAAGAAGTATGATCATAGTTGTTTCAAAGCAATATGCATATGTTAAAAAGATAAAAAAAGCTAATATGTCTCCATCACAAAAAAATAAGTATAACTAAAAGTAAAAATTGCTTTTTCTTAAAGGTAAATCAGTTACTACATTAGTAACTTTGAATATAAAAACTGACTATAGCAGGAAAATGGAAATATTTGCCTCATAGCATTGGCCACAGTAGGCAATATGCATGGCATAGGACTTGACAAAGAAGAAAAAGCTAATGAAAATATATTAAAATTATTTATCATCATCATCCTTATTATTACAATCTTTGTTCCCTACATATATTCAAAGAGAGAGGGAGATTAAGGGAGAGAGGAGGAGGGAAAGAAGCAGGGAGAGAGAAAGATGCTCTCATCATACTGGCATTTCAGAACTAGGCAGCTATGAGGCATCTTAATTCAGTGCAATGCACCTTCAATGAATAAACAGACATAGAATTAAAAGATAAATAAATAAATAAATGTATATATATGCCCATATATATACATGTATACATGTCTATATATCATATCTACATATCTATCTGCCATCTATTTTCTATCTTCAGTGTATCTATCTATCTACCTATATATCTATCTAGATCTTACACACATGTATGATTTTAGGTAAAATGATTTAAGGTAACTAGGTAATTGAATTGGTAAGATCATACAACTTTAACCGTGTGTATATTTATAGCAGTCTGTGAACTAAACTATGTGTGATCACAGTGATATGAAAATTAATTAACAAGTTTTCTCCCTTTGCTCATTGTACCACTCTTCTAGATGTGTTTCCTCTTTTAGTTGTTGAAATTGCATTCCTCTGGATTGCTTAGAGTAAGCAGAGAGCACAACATGCCTCAGAGAGTGTTTGATAATCGCTACATATTTGTATAATTACCTCAATAATATTAAAATTTACAAACATAAAGTTGCCTCTCTTCTAATTGTTCACCTAAAGCACTACGTAGGTAGAAAATGATCAATATTTATTAGCTTTAATCTTATGGACAAAGTCATTGGTACTAAAACATATGTTACAAAACCCTCAGGAGAACAAAGTTCTGTAAATAAGATTACAATACCAGGTAGACTTTTGAAGAGACCACACCTGGTCCCCAATACAAATGAGCCATATATTCCCCATCTTCTTCCTGTGACATATAGAAGAAAAGAAATGACAACAAATATGAAAGACTAAACCCATAGCCTCATGCCAATGGCAGTCTCTGTGGTAAAACTTCAGTCCCAGAGAAACATGGGGAAGTCCTGGAGAAATGCGTGGTGGGTGGGGGCATCAAGCAATAGAATACACTTCTACCTTAAGGACCTCCAGGAACAGACAGGAAACTCATTAATACAAGTATTGCAGGGAGCCAGGATTTCCTGGAAAATAAACAAATTAGTATGAGAAGGCAGAACTCTACAATTTCAGTTTTAAAAATAGCCAGTATTCTTAAGGCTGCTGTGTGCACGGGAGCAAAAGAAAGTCCTTCTTGATGTTTGCCTCAGCTTTTACATCAGAACAGAAACTACACTGAGATTCTTCCCTGCAAATACTGCAAAAATGAAAGGTTTGTCATGATTGAAATTACTTTTTGCCCCTTCAAATAACAAAGTTTTAGGGGATGCCGTGTGCTGTCCTCTCCTATCAAGTCACTCTGATAAAGGACAGGCAGTGTATGGATCTGACTCTTTCACTTAGGATCAGAGTTGTGCCTTCCTTTCTAGTTCAGCTCTTCATTTGCCTAATTTCCCTGTGAGCCTGGCAGGGACATTCCTGGCAGGGCTTGGCTGACCGCAGAGCCCCTACCTGACACACTATGTCTGTGTGTCAGCACTTTAGCTTGCAATGAATGAAAAATCCATCAGTGTGACTGCAGATGCATAGATCTCATCTAGTTTGTCCAAATTTTCAGCTCTCCACCGCAGACCCTGGCAGTGTGTAAGATGGTAAGTGACTCTGTAGCAAATGTGCTGCTTCAGCTTGGTATTCCACCCCCCCCCATTCCTCTTTTCTATTTAGAACAAGCAAATCCAACCTGCTCACTAAGCCACATGTGCAATGAATGATGATGTCAGGACTCATGCAAATATCCTTAATTTGCTCTGGTCTAAGATTCAGTTCCTAATTAGGCTAGCTGGATAAATCTTCATAAATAGATGTGCCAAATTGTTCTTTGTTAACTTATACTCCAAACTCAGGGGGTTAATGTTTTAAGAGGGCATTTGCCTCCTTACTAAAGCTCCTTCTAACTCTCTGGAAGTCTTCATTGCCAAAAGCACAGATTCCCAGATTCACAATTCTGCAAAGACAGAGTTAAACACTGTTTGGACTCTGGCTGCCTAAGAGGAACTGAAAATTTTCAAAGCTCAGTCATCAGCCCTCAAGGGCTGCTACAGTAACTTTCTGAACAGATTGGGTTAAATATTTTTACAGACCCATTCTATGATGATAAGGCGGTAATAATTTGTGCAGTGCAACACTCCAAAAGGTTCCAAATTTCTCAAGCCTTTTTGTATGTGATCCTCACAGTGGAGAAGGGGCTGAGCTACAAGGATGAAGAGTCTCCTTCTCCTGGTGCTGGTTTCAGTCTGTTGGGCTGATCACCTTTCAGACAGCTACACTCCGGATCAAGACAGAGTTATTCACATCCAAGGTAAGAAAGAAAGCACAAGTTCTAAAGTCACCATCACATGGATTACAATGAGATGCATGCCTGGTGTTTCTTCACTTCTGTCCTGCTGCATGAACTTTTCCTTTTCCTTTCTGCTAATCAGTGAACATGCTCCTGGTGTGTGGATGCTAATACATGAGGGGGGCATTGTAATTTGGGAGGAATTGAAGTTGGGAATCTTAAGACCATCCAACTGCTGAAAGTTGGTGCAGTTAATGTTAACTGCAATTGGTATTTTCAAGTAGAATGGGGTGCGTTGGAGTTCATTAAAGTGCAATGTTAAAGAGGGAGTTACAGAGCCAGAATTTAAGATGTAAGATCATTGTTTCACAATAGTTGCTTAATGATCAGAAGAAGCAATGCAAATAAGGAAAATATCAAATACTCTATGGGCTGGGAAATTGTAACTTACCCTGTTACTGTTTCTGTATAAAGCTTTCATTCCCAAGGACCAATATACTGGCCCTGCATATTTCTGTTGAGCTCAGCTGAATCTTCAGCCAGAGAGCTGGAGCAAGGCTAGCGGCTGCAGTATAATGCAGCTCTTTCGTCAGCTTAAGCTTCTGTTGAGGGACATCCTGAAAAAAGAAAGCTGAGAGACTTATGCAATAAGGAAAGGCAGTCCAAGGAGCAATAGCTTCTCACCTGCCCTTGGATGCTAAACAATTAAAGTAAGAATTATACAACTTAAATATACACTATTACTAATTTTAGATAAGTTCAGTTTGGGAACCAGAGACATTATAAGTTTGCTAAAAGACATTAAACAGCAAGTTATAATTTCAAGGTCAAAAGTGTAGCCTCAGAAAACTATGTTCGCTGTTGAAACTCACAATTTGTAAAGGTCATTTGATAGTTTAAGTCTGGTAGCAATATTGTCCTGTAAATGTTTTGGCAGTTCAGAATAGAATTTCTAATTAGTATACCTCTGAGCATTTTAAGCACATCCCTTTCAGTTTTGTTTGCTTCCAACAGCTTTATTTTTTTCACTGTTGAAGCATAAAAAGAAATTATATAATCGTAAATTTTCCTCTGAAAGCTGCTGACTCAGCCATTCCCTTAATGTATATATTCCAGTCAAAGCTCCAGCCCAAGGCTGTAACATTTTTTACACACTGATATTAAAGATGAAGAATAACATCCTTTTAACTTTCAGTCACAGCATTCAACTCAATTCAAATGGGAATACTGAATCATTGGTAATAGCAACTTTAAATCTAATATAAAATAGTCTTTGTATAAGTATGCTTTCAACTTACAAGATCTACTCAAGTTATAGCATAAACCATGCAGTCTTGTTAGTCTATGTGAAACCCAGTGAATGAAAATGTTATTTTAAAAACATTCTGACATTTACAAACTAATCCATGTTAGAGTAAGTTATTTAAACAAGAAAAACTCCCATAGCCCAGTTTTCAAATCCTATGTGTTCTGTTGAAATTTAGTTAAAGGACTCTAGTCCAAGTTACCCAAGCTATTCAAATGATTTCATACACTGGTGGACTTTTCCCAAATTCCTTGATAGTCCACTTCATTTCAATCGGTAAACTAATATTCTTAGAAAGTGTAGGCTTCCCTGGAAGGGCTCCTTAAGGTTTTCAACTTATACGGTGCCTATATTCACTGGTAGAAATTAATCTTGAACTGTGGCTTGGGTCACAGCATTATGAGGTTATCCTCATACATGAACTTACTCTAAAGTTGGTCAAATAGCCATCCTGACCATTTTCCCCTCTCCTCTCCCTTCCTTACTGCACCCACATTGAAGTATCAAGTGACAGAGCTCGATAATCCATGTCCAATTGACCCGTGGTAATTTCAGCTGTCTTTTTATAATATAAATATAAGCCTCATAGCAAATAAGGAATCGGGAAGGTAAAGAGCCTTTGTTATATCCTGAAGTACAAGATTCTTCTCTCATATTTAAACTATTTGCAATAATCCAGAGAAATTAAAGGAATTGAAACTCTCACAAAATGTTATGAGCCATTTGTACTCCAATTACGAAATTGGCTGGCTGAACCTCAAATTACTGAATTATTCCCTATAAGTGGTGTGATTTCACAGAGGTAGAAAAATGTTTAGAATTTCTATTATTATTAAAACATATTTTATGTCCCTTATTCACCATTAATGTTCTATTTTATATTCTAAATTCTCCAAGCAAGAGCAAATTATATTGAAGAGATATTACACATAGTCCTCAGATTCTCCTTTGATGCCATCATAGAGACAGGACATTTGACTGATTTGTCCTTGAGCCTCTCCTGTCTCAGTTACCAAGTACCTGTCTGGTTGCTTCTTTACATCTTTGTTGTAGATTTTATAGGCATAGAGAAGTTTGATTTGGCAATAACAAGGGAGGAAAAGAAGGAGAAAGGAAGAGGAAGAAAGGAAGAGGGAGATGGACTGAGGGAGGAGGGGAGGAAGGATAGGCAGGAAATACAATTCTGAGCACAGAGCACAGACCCCAGTTGGTAAAGTGCACACTGTAAGGCATGAGGAGCTGACTCTGAGTTCCTCAGTGTTCACACAAAAGACTGGATGTGGAAGCACTTTCATAACCCCAGCATGGTGGGAAGAGGGAATCGGAGACAGATGGATTCCTGGAGCCCATCGACTAGCCACCCTAGTCCAATCAATGAGCTACAGATTCCATGAGAGACCCTGTCTCAAAAACAAAAAACCCAAACAAACAACAACAACAAATAAAGAACAATAAGAACGATGAGAGACCAAGGAAGACAGCTGATGTCAACCTTTGTCTTCCATGTGTTTATACACAAGCATACAAGCACACACACACACACATATGCATACTTGCACACACACATATGTACACTTGCACAGACATATACCACATAGAAAATAGCACACATATTCACACACAAAATATCTACTGATTATACATACACACTCACAAACACACACACACACACACACACACACACACTGACCATCTAACATTTAAGCAATCTATTTATTTGTTTTCCAAACATTGGATGTTTTCACACAGACAACAGTTATACTGTCAAGGATGAATCATCTCAATAAACTTACTACCACCACCACTAATGCAACATAGGTGATACCACAGAAGAAAATAAAGATTAAATAAAGGTAAATATGGAGAGAACAGTAATTAGTCACAAAAGGGTCATAAATAAACTGTGTATCCAAATTCATTGAAGTGTTTAATACGTAGCACTTTAAGCCCATAAAATAGAGCTTGTAAATGTTTTTTAAGCTTGATATGAATAATATACACTATTTTTTATATTACCCTGCTAAATGTCAATTAAAACCATGGAGCTTTATATTTCTAGATACAAAATCTTCTTTTCCAGTGGCAACAAATTCATATTGGATAGTCATTGCATTTTATCCTGGGTGCTGCAATCAAAAGAATGAGAAAGAAATCAAATTATTAGAAAGTACATATCTACTAGTAACTCTTTTTTGTTTTGACTGAAAGTATATAAGAATTAGTGTTGACTCAACTAAAGCCCCGTGTAAAGTCTTTACAGCATGCTAATTTTCTATTTTACCATCTAATGAAAATACTTACATTTCTTTTTTGTTTCAACACTTTACTTAAAATCAAAATCTGTTATTTTAATCAAGTCATTTGTAATATAAACACTATCAAGTTCTAGGAAATTACAAGTCACTTAAAGATAGTCAAACTAATAGTATCTAGGAATAATAGTCATTTTTATAGAAAAATTATTTCAAAATAAAATATTGAAAAAATAAATACAACACCTCTGTAAAAACTACTTCAATTTTTTGTATATTTTATATGGCCATAGTAAAGTACTGTTTAGAACTTTAGCAGTTCTGGGACCTGGGAAAATGGAAAAAGAGGCAGACTAAAGTATCATGTAATAGGCAACTTTATTCAGCGCCTCAGACAATTTATATTCTAAGAGTTAGAGAAGTCACATAAGTAAAGTATGCAATCATGCAGGCAAGCCACAAGTGGTGGACAAGCCAAATGCAGAAAAAAACGTGTGTTTTCCATAGAGGCATATAATAGCCAGTTGTACTGAATAATCTGAAGTAAACCCATTCCTATTCACTATACCTGGGAGGGCCAAGAAAACAATCTGAGAACAATTCTGTGTTCTTGAAGAAACAGGTCACAAACTCTTGTCTTGGTTTCTGGGAGTTTTCTCTCACAAGCACTCGCAAGTATCCTCACAGGACTCATTCTTGGATCATGTCCCAACACCCTCCTACCTTTTTATATTTTTTAAATGAAGGATATCCAGAGTAGTTTTGATTTAAGATATTGTAGATAAATCTAATTGCCATTTGATGTGTGACTATTCTATAAGCAAGAAAATCACAGAATTAAAACAGTGAACATATTGTGTGTAAGACTCTGTCACCAAAAACAAGGATTCCAAACAATGTCCAGTACTATTGGTTACATAATGATATTGAATAGAAAAAACTAGACAATAGCTTGAAAAGAGACCCATATGTTTAGAGGTTCTGATACCTTGTAGGAATTAAACCTGTATCTGTCCTTTAATAAGAACACAAATGTTATGATGTCCTATGTAAGTGAGAAATGATACAAATCCCAAGGAAAAATTAAACACAGTAATTTTTTTCAGATAAATAAATGAATGAGTCTATTACAGTCTCAAGGTCTAGTGATAAACACATTGTAATTTTAAAGATAACAGGTACTGAACTCATCTAATCTACAAGTTGAAGCAAAGGAGAATGAAGAATGTAAGACCAATACATTCGCTCAGAGACACTTACTACAGATATGCATGTTAAAACAACTACTATCACCAGAAAGAGAGTTCCAGGTGACACAGGGCTCTGTGTTTCATAGCATAACTTCTCCTTTGGTGAATAGAGCCTTGATTTGGCCCCAGGAGGGTAGGTTTGACTTCTGACGATATGGTAGATCTCTCCTTTTGCCCTTTGGCTGGAAGTTTGCTATCTTTCTGGAGATGTCC